AGCGCAAGAAGACCCGCTCGAGCGCCAAGACACAAGAATAAAGTACATCCGCTCGAGCGCGAAAACCGGTCCGCTCGAGTGTAGATTTCCCCCTCCCAGAACTTACACCAAAAAAGTACTACCCGCTCGAGCGCGAAGAAGCCCGCTCGAGCGCAGGAAATCCGCTCGAGCATAGAAATCACACCTGCAGAAGTTTTGTAGAGCACGAAAATACTGGGAGTGTGCAATCTCCGCTCGAGCGCTATATGACCCGCTCGAGCGAAACGACCAAAAACCTGACAACTAGATTTTGGACCAAGGCTCAACCCACCTGCTCGAAACTTGCCCAACACATCCTAAAACTCAAACATAAGGAATTAAAAGATGACAACAAGGTATATAACTACCAACTCCACGGAACCAAAGTTTGGAATACAACAAATACAGAAAGGGAAAACCGGGATCGCTATAATTATGATGATAAGAAGAAGACATGGTAGGAAAAAAGGGCAAAATTGTCATTTAGAAAATTGTAGAGTATGATATCAGCAATCCAAAGAGGGGAAATTATATTTCCATACACTAAATTATGTTAGTGCGTATCTTCTCTCAGTATATATATTTATTAATTTGATTATTAATTAATTTTCTCAATACATACACTAAAAGTTACAATTATACCCTTCACTAATAATCATTGTACACACACCACTTAACCTTCCTTTTCACACACTTGTTGAGTGACCCTGCTTCTAGATTTGTAGATCTATTGTAGACCCACATGAAGACCATTCAAGACCACAGTGTAAAATGAAGTGAAGTGAAGTAAAGACAAAATTTTCCATTGAAAACCATATTGAACCTCCATTGAAAATACCATTGAAAACCCTCTAAAATATTGTTGAAGATGAGCCATCTTTTCATTTTGTTTTTGCATTTACCATTTCCAAATCTTTGTGCACTCTATTGCCATAAAATTTTAGGCTTTTTGTTTTGTTTTGTTTTGTTTTTTTTTTTTTTCGGTTTGGGGATTTCAGCACTTATTTTTCGAAATTATACATGTAATTCGAAACTTTACTTCCGAATAAAAGTTATTAGTTCGACAAATTTGTTCAAAAAAAAAAAAAACTTTCGGCAGTTGATGTCTGAATATAATGAAATAATTCGGTAGTTGATGTCTGAATATAATGTAATAATTTGGCACTGGTTGTCCGACTGAAAACCACAAAGAAAAAAAAAACACACAAAGGTTTTGCATGAAAAAACTAACATTTTCATCACTAATAGAGTATAAACCTAGAGATTAAAACAATATGAGAGTATTGCTTTGCAAGCAATAGAGGAGTATAAATGTGTGTAACAAGCAAAGTGACAACAATAGAAAAACTAGGTTTTAGTTTCCTTTTACTCAAAAGGTGTACATTGAGATTTTTTTTTTTTTAAAAAAAAATGTGTACAAAGAGTATTTTCATATAATATTATGGGTGTTGGTAGATGTCCATTATGATCATTTTAGTTTACGGTATAATTGCCATCAAAATAATATTCCATTAAACGTATACACTGAGATAACTGGGTGTATGAAAATATAATTTCCCTCCAAAGAGTAATTTGTAATAAAATTACAAATCTTAGAGAGGAGAATATAATTTTTCAAACGTAAAAAGAGATTTATATTAAATAGAAATCTTAGGAATGTCAGTATAATTTATCCTATATATATATATATATATAATTAGAAAGAATAGAGATGAGTGAAGTTGTGAATATAAAAAAATAAATTAATAAGTACTATATATGTTTGTGCGTATACACTTTTATATAAGAGGGAGTTAGTATCTGCTACAGTACAAGATGACTTTTATTTTTCTTTCCACTTTTGCCCCTATTTTGTGTGCTGTGTTTTCTTCTTTCTTCTTTTTTTTTTTTCTTTTTTCTATTTTCTTTATTATTTGCTTGGACAATTTTGTAATTTTTTTATATTTTGTTTATAATTTTTGTCTCTTTTGATAACACTTATAAATCAAATTTTTAATAAAAAAAATTCACTAATTGTGTTTGATTGCAATTTTAGACTATAATTTATTGTATTTTTTCAACTAATTTGAAAAATAAAAAAATGATATATTTTTAAGTTGTAAAATATAATTTTTGAAACTTATTTGAGACTCTTAATTTATATGAACAAAATAACTCTATTTCTTTTGTTTTAGTTAAAATTTTTGAGTGGATGTTAGATATTTACATATAACGTGTAATCAAATAACTTTAATCTTGTTTTTTAAACAGAATATAAAAAGTCATACCAAACAAGTTTACAATTTATTTTAATTTTTTGAAACTAATAATCTAAAACGTTATAATCATAAAAACTCAATTACAAGTGATACCAAATTGAGTTATTATTTATCAATACTCTATTCATAATAAATATGAATAGGAACCTATTAAATCAATAAAACTGTGACACATGAAATGATAATAAAGTATTGTACATAATTTGTCATATTAATATTTATTGTTATTCAATGATGACAAATAATATCCAAATATATATTTTTTTTAGCTGATTTTACAAATATTTATAGAAAAGTTTTAAATTTTTTACTTCTTATGATAAGGTTATTATTGCTAGAAAAAATCTATGTATTTGTCAAAAATGTTTTTTTTTTTTTTGGAGGGGGGGTTAAAGTTTAAGTGAGTGTTGGACAGGACAATACCAAATGTTGCTTAAGTAAATAAGAATTTTATGAGAGTATTTAGAGATTAAAAATGTCAAATATTATTACTTAGGCAGTCACCTAAAAAATAATATATTTGTTGAAGATACTTTTATGTCACTTAAAATTATTTTTCCTTTTTATCCAATTAATAGTAAAAAATAATTCATTTTTTTTAGGGCATCCTAATCAAACATAATGCAATAATCTTCAATTCTTATTTGAGAGAGTAATGATATACAAATAGAATTGGGAAAATTATAATAAAAAAAATTATATAAAAAAAAAAACCTAGAGTTTTAACCCTATTTTTTTTTTTTTTGTTGAACCCAGAGTTTGAACCTTATAAACTCCAATTCTTGTTTGAACCTAGAGTTTGAATTTTATAACAAAATAAATTCTAAATTTTTAATTTTATTAATTTAAATTCTAAACTTTCGATTTGTTTTCAATCTAAACTATTTGTCTATTTTTGTTAAGTAAAATAAATAAAAAAATATATATGTTTTAGTCATCAAATTCGACAGAAATTATATTTTAGATATTTTCTACATACTTACATTGAGTTTAATGGTTAAATATAATTTTTTTCATCCGTTTTATTTAACAAAAATAGATAAATAGTTTAGATTGAAAACAAATCGAAAGTTTAGAATTTAAATTGATAAAATTAAAAATTTAGAATTTATTTTGTTACATGGTTCAAAACTTGGGATTTTTTATTTTTTGTAATTTTTCCAATAGAATTTTATACAAATTTATATATAGAATAGTATAACTTCTTCTGGTTACTTCATTTTAAATCAAAATACAATCTGTCATCGTTTTCATAATTTTAAAAATATCATTGACACTTCATTATTAATATTTCTTTTCACTGTATAAATTTTTTATTGTAATTGTGAAATTTAAATTTACTACAAAAATTATTATATTTGTGAAGCATAAATTTATTATAATACCTTGCATGAGCATTTTTTTTCTAGTATATTATAAAGGGATTAGATAATAAATAAATTTTTATGGGTGTTAATTCGAAAGGCCTTTTATGAATTAAAAAAAAGTATGAAAGAAAGAAAGTATAGGACATATATGAAATTGAAAAATGGCTTGGAGTTTTATTCCTTGAGTTCTAAAGTTAGCTCTAATGAACTGACAGTAGGCCCTACCATTGTGATGTAATATTTTGGTTTTGGTTTTTTTTTTTTTCCTTGCCATATCATTAGTGTTCTATTAAAACACCAAAATTAATGCTCTGAATCATTGCTATATGAAATTTCAGGAGCAAACTGAAAAATATAATAAAAAATTATGGTTCAAATAATAATTTCAAAAAGGGTTAATTACATCAACTTACCTCAAGGTTTGGAAAAAATAAAGAAAAAATAAAATAAGTTATACAATTTTGGCATAATTATATTGAATTTCTTTGAGATTTTAATTCACATAACACTTAATCAATTTTTCATCAATAGTTTGTTAGTTATGTGAAAAATAAATAAATTATATTGTTATTTATTTTATACGAAATGTATATTTGACGTTATTTATTTTTGAATTTTTACATAATTTGCATTAATTCTACTCACTTTAATCTTATTAAGACCATGTTCAATCTAGATTCAAATCTTTCATTAAATTTAAATTGATGAGAATTTGGTAAAAATAGTGTTTTAACCATTTCACCAAATTGGTATCAAATGAAGGGAGTACTACTTTTACCATCAAATTAAGAAGCGTTTAACCTTTCATCAAATTTTGCAAGTGACCATTAGTGTACGACCAGATTGGAAAAAATGTGACAAAAATTACACTAGGGCAAACAACTGTCCAGACATCCTTTCGTTCATCTTTTCGGTCAACCAGTTATTTGATGAAAATTAAAAATTTAGCGTTAAAATGCTTGCTATCAGATGAAACTTTTAACTCAAATTTTTACTCAAATTTGATAAAAATAAAAAATAAAAAAATAAATGTTAGAGATGCTCCAAAATCAAAGTTAGTGTAAATTATATTAAATTTATAGGATTTATTATCTTTTCTCTAAATGTCAAGAAAAGTATGTGTAAGTTACTTTTAGTTTGAGCAAAATTTCACTTTGATCTTTGGAGTTTCAATTTAAACTTTATATTTTTAATTTTGTTTCAGTATAGACCCCCCATCATGCAGAATTAGACATATCAAAGTAGAATTCAAAAAAAAAAAAAAAGAAAACTACAAAGGCTCCATTGCAATATTTTTTCATTAAAAATGTTAAACAAAGAGATTACATTATAACAAAATTAAATTAGAAGTACTGAAACTTCTCCCAAACTACAATGACAATTGTGTAGTTAACCATAAGTTCCAAACCCCTGATAAATCCTTGACCCTCCAAGTTCTCACCCCTCCTCTCTCTAAGCTTCAATGGATCCCTCTTCTACCTCCCTCTCACCATATTGAACTCCAAACCACCCACACCTAACCAACCATACCCACTCGCAGATTACCCACAAATGGTTTTTCTCAAAACCCTCCGTTCTCGCCATTTCCACACACTCCTAAACCCCCAAAACCCTCCTCCTTCCCAATACTTCAAAAACCCTACAACCCAATTCTTCCACAGATCCATTTCGCTTTCCGCACAATTCAAATCCGAATCGATCAGCAATCAGCAGACAAAGAAGCCCTTGCACGTTCTGTTCAAGGAAGCCGTTGGATTATGCGAAAAAATTAAACCCATTGAAGCCCAGAACGAACCCGAAACCAATGAATTGAAGAATAGATTAAGAAAATTGGAAGAAGAAGTGAGGAGGTTGAAAGAAAATAGTAGTGAGAAAGTAAAAGTAGAGAATTTGAAGAAAAAGAAGATTGAGAATGATGAGTCTAGTTCTAAGAGCTTGTACGCGTTGTTTGCGAATAAAGGAGGTGATAGTGAGAAACCTAGGGTGGTGGAGTCTTTGAGGATGGAGGATCCAATTGTGTACAAAGAGCTTTTGCTCGAATTGGCTCTATTTGTGAAGCATTTGTACAAAGAAGGCTGCTCTGTAATGCTAATTTCTTGCCCAATAACAAGTTTGATATTACTTGTTTCGAGAACAGCTATGGCCGTGATTTTATTAGGTATGCCGCGGAGAAGTTTGGCAAGGATAACCAAGAAATTGTAAAGTAAGAACAATTCTTTGCCATCACTTTTTTCTTTATATCTATAATAGTTGTATGTTGCCCATTAGATTAATGTAATAGTTTATCTACTTTTTTTTTTTAAAGGTGATGATTGTTTTCTAGCGTTAAGCTTTCAAATATTAATGTGAACAACTAAAAATAGGGCTGAAAACAAGCCGAGTAGTAGTATTATGTTGTTTTAAACTTGGTTTAATAATTATATGTGCTTAAACTTGTTCAAGTTTGGTTTGTTTACATAAGGAGCCGATCTCGAACGGGATTTTAACGAGCCAAACATGAGTTGAGCTCAAGTAGCTTTGATTTTTATAGTGTATATAAGCGTATCGAACCAAGTAATAGGTTATTCAAGATTGGCTTGAAAACTTAATGAGCTTAAAATTGCGTTCAAGTTTGGCTTGTTTACATAATAAGTCGATCTCGAACAAGCTTTTAATGAGCCAAATACGAGTCGAACTCGAGTAGCTTGGTTCATTTAACAGCCCTAAAAATAATTTTGGTTTTAAACCTTGACTTTATAAACATATATGTGAAAGAACCTTTTATGGGCTGATGTGTGGTCTGATTAATTTTGTTTGAAGATAGAAGTGGGGATTCTGTTTGAAAATAGTTGTTCAAAATAAATTTCACGAAGTTGATTTGTTGTGTCCCTTTATGCAGAAGTCTTAGTCTAGCTGATCATAACATGCTTTACTGAAGAAGATATGTCAGATTCTGTTTTTGGATATGAAAGTGATGCAACCTATGTTCTATAAATAGTTCTGGCTTTTTCTTTGGAAAATGAAATATCAGTAAATCTGGCTTAAATAGATTAGTTAAATCTCCATTCACTCACAAGGAATTGACAATTCAATAAAATAGAGAACATGCTGAAAATTTCTAAGACATGCAATGAAGTTAATTCTAATATGGTTTTAAAATGTCACAATATACTTCAAGCAACATAGCAATTGACATGTAACAACTGCAAAATCAAAGAGAAGAAAAATTGCCATAACTCGAAGCAACACTAAATCTAAAATTATAGTTGAAATTATTTAGGCTTCTATTGCAAAATCATACATAAGGGTGGAACATAGTGATCGGATGTAAACAATAGGAAACACGGTTAGAGAGATGGGACAAGAATAATTAGACAACAAGATTGTAGGTGGGAAAACAATGATCAAGGGATAGAATGGAAGGGGGTGAGCAATGTAGAGCAAGTAGGAAACTCACCAAGATATATAACCAGAGAAGATGAAAAAGAACAAGAGAACAGAGAGAAAGAGAAAAGGAGAAAGGAGCAAGAGGGAGAATAGCTGCAGCTCTTGATTGCAACACAAGGCTTAGTTTGGTTTGTTTTGTTTTGGAAATTAATGCTAGGGGGAGATGCTATAGTCATTTATTTGGCCCCAGAGTAGCTAAGGGAAGTAGGTTGTCTGTCATTATTGTTGAATGTGGTTCACAAGGAAAGCTTCTCAGGTTCCATGAGTTGGTGGCATATGTTAAAAGACATTTTCTCTTCTGGTGTTTTCTTCACAATATTTTAATTGGTGACTGCCATTTACTTAATTTTTGGCTCAAAATGAAGGGCTTCCTCATTAATGGTCTTATCTATATTCTTTACAAGTTTCTAAGGAAACGTGTAGCACAATGTCCAAAAAACTTGTGACATGGAAGTGCGAGTGATTGACATCTCTGCATAGTTTGAGGCATTAAATAGTAACTTGCACCTGCAATACTTCATTTCCGTATCAAAACAGAATTAGGTTTGCTAGGGCATGTGCTGATGGAATTTGGTGTAATTGATAAGGTGGATAAATGGCAAGTGAAGTAAATGAGCACCGGCCGTGTAAGAGAATCCTGTGCCCAAGGGCTGTAGTGAAAGCTAAAACTGAGATGCATTGGTGGTCGTAGAAGGAATAACATGCAGCAGTGTGAGAAGGAATGTTGACACTAATGAATTGTCTAAAATAGAATATGAAAAATCATCGAAAGATATGTCTGACTTAACTGTTTCAGAAAACCCACATAACAGACAGGCACAGTTCAGCATGCATGTGTATTTGTCTGAGTGGGTGAATGAGGGTGTGTGTTTGCTAGTCATGATGGTGGTTCCACTTCCATTTTTTTGTTCTATATTGTTTCCTTGTTTCCATCTGTTAGCTCCTTCAAGTCTTATGAACTTAAGTTATGGATGCACAGATGGTTGTCAGCCAGTGACTTGAAAAAGGTGGCCCTCTTTGGATGTCCTTCGCTCGGAAGGAAAAATGTCTTTTCTGCTAAAAGCTTGCGCAATTTTTTCAGAATTCAAGGAGACACCGTAAGTCAATTGTCTCATTGAAAAATTTCACCTCTCTAATCTTTCTGGTCTCATCTACATATGCTTATTGATTTATTTTGGAAGAGACATATCCAAACCAAACATGCCCATTATTTTTATTATTATTCTTTTGTCATTGTTACATGCTCACATTCAGGTATGCAGTAAATGCGTCTTGAAATCATCATGCAAGTTTGTGAATCAGAGTGTATCGAAAGGCAATAACAACAATTTGAATTTGGCTGTTGTAATGAGGGTTATAATTTTGTACACCATGGAATCTGTTCCTCCACCGTTGGTAGTGCCTGACGAGATAGAGGCTTCTGTTAATGTATTGCTGAAGGAGGTTCTGAACGTAAGCCAAACTCACGCATAAAGCTTTTTGACGGTTCCATATATAAAGTGGTCTTTCAGGTGCTTTAAATCTGGATTATTGTTCAGAGTACTTTGTTCCTTGATAGGTTTGTTGGTTTATAGACTAGTAAACTGATTTGCTTTCATTCTCAGAGTACTGTCAATATTCTAATGCACAAATCTGGGAGATGAAGTGTGATGATCAAATGTCTACATTGTTAATAGCTCATGCTGAGAACAATGCAAAAGATTGTTGTTACATTACATCTTCCGGTGGTGGTTGTTACATTACATCTATGAATGATATTCCGGGGTTTGCTTGCCAAAAATATGCGAAAAGGGGCTTCTCTGTTGAATTGTGGAAGTGTCATCTTGAATTGGCTGGTTAGTGAACTTCATAAATGCTCTAGTTATTTATGTCTTATCAACAAAAAATTGGCATTCAACAATTGAGTAGAGCTTTTGAGATGTATATTTCAACTTATTTCTTCATTATATATGAATGGCCATTTTATCCATTTTAAATGTATAGTGTTGTCGATGCATACAATAAAATCTGAAGTATTGGGTACTGAAGTTAAATTTCATGATTGAAGATCAGAGTTAGTTTCTCTTTTTACCCCTCTTTTTTCTTTTTAAATCCCTAATAATATTTTTCTATTTGGTTCATTCTTGAAGTATTGGTCTATTTGGTTCATTCCTGAAGTATTGAGTAAATAAATACGGAGAAAATAATCGTTCGTATGTACAATGTAGTTGGGTCCCTCATTTTGATGATTTTGGCTCTGGTCTTTCATCTTATTGGGTCTATGATTATGGGTGCTTCTATTTACACACCACATTTAGTCTTAAGACACACAACTACTCAATTTACACCTTTAATAATTTGAAAAAATATACAGCTTGTTTGGTTCTGATTTTCACAAAAATAGTTTTTCAGAAAATTTTACTTTTTTATTTTCTGTATTTTAATGTTTTTAATGAATTTTTTTAATGTTTTAAAGAATATAATTTTTTTTTAATTTTTAGACACACCTAACATAAATACACTTAAAAAGTATAATATTTATGAAAAAAAATCTTTAAAAATACACTAAATACCAAAAAATACAAAAAAAAAAAATGAAAATTCAGTACAATTTTCGTATTTTTGTGTATTTTTTAATTTCTAAAAATATTTTTCACAAGTATTATACTTTTTAAGTGTCAAAAAATTTTACTTTTTTATTTTCTGTATTTTAATGTTTTTAATGAATTTTTTTAATGTTTTAAAGAATATATATTTTTTAATTTTTAGATACACCGAACATAAATACACTTAAAAAGTATAATATTTATGAAAAAAATCTTTAAAAATACACTAAATACCAAAAAATACAAAAAAAAAAAATGAAAATTCAGTACAATTTTCGTATTTTTGTGTATTTTTTAATTTCTAAAAATATTTTTCACAAGTATTATACTTTTTAAGTGTATTTATGTTAGGTGCGTCTAAAAATTAAAAAAAAAAATTGCTAAAACACTAAAAAAATTCATTGAAAACATTAAAATACGAAAAATAAAAAAGTAGAATTTTTTGAAAAACTGTTTTCTGAAAACTAGAACCAAATAAGCTGTATGTTTTTTCAAATTATTAAAGGTGTGAACTGAGTAATGGTGTACCTTAAAATCAAATGTGGTGTGTAAATAGAGGCACCCTATGATTATGTCCAAAATGATGTAAATTACAATGCAATGTAGCTATGATGTACTTTTTAAAAATGTGTGATAGTAAAATTTATGGTAAATTACAAATACATCCTTTGAGGTTTGATTAAAATAGGAATTGCCTCTTGTGATTTGAAAAATTACAAATACCTCTCTGTCATAATTTTTTATTTAACAGAATTAATTGAAAAAGTGAAATTTCTAACTGTTCACCTATACAATAATAAAATTATTTGAATTATTAATTAAAATAAAATTTTAACATCATTAAAAATTGTTAATTAACTTGATAATTTATTGATAAAAGAACCTATTTATTATGAAATTATAAACCTTAGGGGGCATAATGTAATTTTTAAAATTATAAAAGATAATTTGTAATTTAAATAAATCTTAAAGAGTGTGGTCGTAATTTATCCTAAATTTTACCATGATGCAATTGCTGCTAATTTCGTCTCCCTAGGTTATTGAAAAGAATCAAAAAGAAAAAAACTTCACGATTAGATTGTTAAATTGTTAAATTTTTAAGGGAAAAATCATACGGCGGTGTTGTAGATTAGTTCATCAATTTTAATTAATTTACTCTATTTAATAATGTCCCTTACCAATTGGACTGAAATCAATGACAAAGTGGTCATTTTGAAAGGAAATTAATTGTTTCAAATTAGACATCAACCTTTTGATCAGTCCAAGGGGAGTGAATACACTATTTACCTTTTGACTTTAATCTAATTCCTTAAAAAGTTATCAATTGAACTAAATTAATATAATATAAAAAAATTAAAGAGAAAATCGATAAAATTAAAATTATGATTAAATTGACAAGAAACAAACTATAAGGTCACAAGTGGCCCGTGAATTGGATGAATACTTCAATTCTGCTCATTTTGAGCAACTGTTGGAGATCTTGCACATGGCATTCTGGTGGCAAACGTAGAGTTATTTACACAAAAACTCCTTAAATTATTGGAAGTATTATTTTGACTCTTTAAATTATAAAAATATATAAATAGATCTCTTAAACAATTGAGAAATATCATTTTATCTTCTAAATTATAAAAATCATAAATGTTCCTAAATTATAAAAACATACAAATTGGACCGTTAACGAAAGGGATCAAAGTGAAATACGTCAACTTTAGAGGGACAAATTGATACTTCTCAATAGTTTAAGAGATCCATTTATTCACTTTTATAGTTTAAAAAATTAAAATAATATTTTTCAATAATTTAGAAGGCGTCCATGTAAATAAGCTAGCAAAATTATGTAGGGCAAACCACAGAGAAAGAACAAAGAGGTTGGAGCAATTTCCAAGTTTGCATACTGGTCAAGCATTCACCACTAGATCCGAATGAACTCAAAGGATTTGTTAATGTTTTCCTTTGCGACAATACTTACATTCAGAAAAATTATCAATATATATATTTGTGGACCATATTTTGAATATAATTTATATCACTAATTTTAAATTTACACTATACACTTTATTTTCAGGATATTTTTTTAGGGTAAATAGCATTTCCTCAGCTTTGTGCAAGGCCTTCCAAATTATATTTCCTTAAAACTGATTGTTGCATCAAAAAAATATATTAATCTTTTTTTTTTAATATTTGTTACCAGAAAATTTTGTATTTTTCTTTTCTTTTCATCTCTATGTAGATCTACTCAACACACACCGTACATCTAGATTTACCATTTCATTATTTTCTAAATATAATAGGTCTTATATTTATATATATATGTGTGTGCGCGCGCGCTTGGGTGCACATGCATGCACACAATATATGTTGTGTGAATCTGTAAAATATGACAAAAACAATAAAATCTATCCAGTGATATATAACAACCCTCTTTTAATTTTGTTGCCTAGTGATACAAATATTTTGGAAAAATCTTAGGTGAGATTTTTCACCTAGTTGAAGAAACTTTGCTTTTGAAAATGCTAGCTAGCACACAAATCAAAAAGAACAAAGCTACTACTATCCATGACCCCTATATTTTTAGGTTTGACATTGCACATATCCTTCATCTTTCATTGTTTTCATCAATTGCTTCCAAAACTTACGAGGTACCCAAGCATTATGAGTACCTGGGTTGCCCTGCAAATCACATGAACCACAAATGCAGAAAGAGAGAGAGCCCAAATTGTTACACCTTTCGTGCAGGTCAAAACTTATCCGACAATCAAATCTTACCCAATAAGGAATTTTACTACCTTAGGACAGTTATAGTTATAACCACCAACTTGGTTACCCCCTCATAACTTTCACAGAATGGCTTTCAGCCTCATAACTTTCACATATGTATGGACTCAAGAGGTGGCTCGCCTTGCAGCACTTTGTTCCATACTAGAAATACAGAATGGCCTCTGGCCTAATAGATCATACAGAATGGCCATAGGCCCAGATTGACCTTAAGCCTAGTTCATATATGTATGGACTCAAGAGGTGTCTCACATAGACTCTAGAGGTGGCTCACAATGTAACACTTAGTTCCAAGTAGAACTTTGTTCCATACCAGTAATTAACTGGTTTTACAGACCAACCATACATATCATGTCATATCATAAACGGAAACAAATTCATACATATGCATTATGCTTGAATCATATACAGAAATCAGAATTCATACTTAATTATACTTGTCACTTCAATAGCGCTAACAAGTCAATATATAGCATTCTTGTTAGTTCCATAAAGGAATCCCTCGGTACTAAGAACTTGTAACATCCTTGAACTTGTAACATACGTAAACCACAGTATTATTACCCTCGGGTAAGGACCTTGTGCTAAGGATGCCTTAACCTTTATATAAATGAACAATCATTCAGTGATTCAAAATGTAACATGTTAGAAAATAGGGCATTTCTTGTCATATCATGTCATTATCGTACGCTTAACAAAGATAGAATAATTCACATTCTCATGAGGGTTATATAAAAATGTTGAACTTTTGCCCTTATGTCGTGGTTTCATAGCTTTCCAATTATTCTGATTCTTCGAAGGTGTCTAAATAGGCATAATGCTATCTATTTGATAGGCATGGACCTGATTTTCCTTGCCATTCGTGTTTATAGATAAAGGATATTGCCTTCCACATATCAAACAGGATGCCTTTAAAAAAACAGCAAAGATATCATACCGTGAGGCCTTCAGCGCACACTGTCTCATCAAGGGCTTCACCAACTCCTCTAGAGTCATCAAAGATTGTAAGTCCTGTGTATGCAAGAAAGGTAATTATTCCAAAGTGTCATATCAATAAAAGATATTGGTAACCAGTCAATGTTTGGGAAGAAAATAAATGAAAAAAGTATTATGTAAACCTATGAAGCATTAGCTCTACTTCTCCATCTTCAATGCCGGCTCCGCCAACGGCACAATCAACCAAGATTGAGAATTCAGATTTATTGTCCACTGTATAAATTCCGAGATTGAGCTGAAAAATAGAAGCTAGAAGGTTTATTCGATAATACTACCAAAATTCATTTGATCTTAATTTAAATGAGAAGGAAAAGATTGAACTATTGCACATCATTTGAGGAAAACCATAAAATGTTTCTTCTAAAAAGATAAAATGTCATCTTCAATTATTCTACACTACCGAATTCAAATAGATTTATTGTCCTTGGTCTATATAATATACCAATCCAAGTAGTCCCACCTTCATTTTTACTCTTTTTTGTAGAGAAAAAATCTAAACATATAATCAAAAAAGGTCTTAGCACCTGAGGCAATTTATTCAACCATCAAATCTCAGCCGACATTTTGATTGTTGGGCCATCATAAAGAACAAAAAATATCACAAACCTCAATCATCTAGTTCATATAAATTGTTAAAATTTGAACACCTTCACTGCATAGAGCAAATTCAGAAAAAAGAGTACGCCAAATTGGCTATGTCAGTCCTACTAACATAGAATGCCGTATTTATTTTGGACCTGTCACCTGTACATGGACAATTCTGTGTAAATATCATTTATTGCTAGGTTTGAAGTTTGAACTTAATTTTGACAAAATATAAGTTGATAATGTTATCGGATATTAGTTCCCTGCAATGGGTTGATGAACTTGAAGAGGCCAATCCTCTCTATAATCTCAAACCTGTAAACGCCATGATACAGAACCAAGTCCGACCTAGAATAACCAAGGGAGGATGTGAAATTTCACATAAATAACAAAACTTAGTAATTTTCTATGCTTGCAGAAAAATTCAGAAAATGTTTTTACTGTAAAACAAACTGGTGGAACAAAATAATGGGGTTGCAAATAAACTATTCCCATAACCCATCAGCCGTGCTACGTAGGGCAATCCAACTTTTATCTATGTCTGATTACAAATGAAATATTAGGAATAATATAGTATAAGATAGACCTGTGTATTTATGAACTGATTGGAATACAACTGATTGCATTTTCTGATTGATTGAGCAGAAGTTTTCAAATTGTTTACTGTAAAATCCCTTCCGCAAGGAGATGTAAACGAATTTCTTTACATAAGCCTCCCTTTAAGCTTACAAGATCTAAAACTTGACCGAAATTAACAAGTAAGCCTACAAAAAACCCGAAATTGATAGCCCATTCTGCACCCCAAATTAGAACTACATTATCAGTAACTATCACTAATTAATTTCTACACAGCAACTTACAATTATGAAAAAAGTTAGGTTAGAAATTGGGGACAACTAGAGAGAGAGGGAGAGAGAGAGAGACAGCAACCAAGTTAGGATTAGAGAAAAACCAAGTGAGGAGGTCGCAGGCAACAAAGCATCTAACAAATTAGGGTTCAAATTGAGAAAAAACGAGTTATGAAAGAAAGAGACTAGAAGGGGGATAGCGAGATAGAAAAGAGGGGAAACAGAGGTCGGAAAAGCGAGAAAAGGGGAGAGAGAGCTTGAAAAAGGTGAGAAGAGGGCAGGGAGAGAGAGAATGAGACAAAAACAAGGAGAGAGAGAGAGAGAGAGAGAGAGAGATATACCAGTTGTAGCGAGCGCCAGCCGGTGACGTGCGGGTTAGCCACTGTGACAAAAATAGACGGACGGTGTGATGGAGATGGATGGGTGAGGGAGTGACAGAGAGAGATACAGAAAGTAAAATAGATGCATCTAAACAGAGAGAGATATCTATCTCTTGGTTCAATTTTATTTTTTATTGATTTTAAGCATTTGGTGACAAAATTTGGTATTCCTCTTTAAAAATAATACATTTGGAGACGAAATTATTTTCTCTCTAAATCTTTTTTCAACGGTGACGAAAAATTTCGTCTTCGAAATGGTGCCAAATCTTCTGCCAAATTTTCCAAGGGCGGGAAATTGTTTTGTGATGAAAAACAAAATTTAGAGACGAATAAAATTTTCATCAACTATTGTTTTATTTGATTTTAAGCATTTGGTGACAAAATTTGGTTTTCGTCTCTAAAAATAGTACAATTGGAGGCGAAATCTTATTTTCATTACTAAAACATGTATATTTGAAGAAAAAATATTTTTTCATAATGTGTTTTTGTCACCATAGACCTTTTTTGTTGTAGTGAAAGTAGGAAAGTTAATTTTTTAAAATTCTAAAGTTACCTTTAGAAGTTAGCAATTGGACCAAAGTAAGAAAAGACAAATAATATAGGGACTAAGGTGGGTACAACGAGAAATAATATATATCTAAGAATGAAAGTACAATTTTTTATTTTTAAAAAGTAGTGAAGGTAAAAAAGTAGTGACTTACTACGAAATAATAGGCAAGGGTTAATAGTGGTACGTGCTAGAGTCATAAATGTGTTAAAGTGATTAATAGCGGCAACAATACTATTATAGTGGTCTAAGTCGATGATGATGGTTGTGTTTTAGTGGACCAAAAGGCATGATTAATTGAAGTTGGTAACAATAACATTGTTGTCTAATTCACTAATAATGACAAGGAAAGAAAGAGTGAGAGTCGACGAGATAATCATAGAAACAACATTTCAGGTAACATTAACATTGAAGATAATGACAGAGAGAGAGAAACGTAGTTAGAGTGCCATCACTACAAAAAAATGCACCTTTGGCAACCAAAATTGGCGACTAAAAAAAATTTAGTTGCCAAAAGTTATGGAATTGGTGACTAACATTTTTTTTAGTCGCCAAAAGTAAAATATTTAGCTACTAATTTTTTTTAGTCGGGGTATATTCATTATTGGCGACCAAAAAAAAACTTAGTCGTTGTATATTAACTTTTGGTTACTAAAATATTTAGTTGTCGAATGGGAAATAAAAAAAATATTTTTTCTCTTTGGCGACTAAAGTTTTAGTCACCAAAATGTTACTTTCAACGACAAAAAAAAAAATAGTCACTGTATATTGACTTTTGGCTACTAAAATATTTAGTCGCCGAATGGAAAATAAAAAAATTATTTTTCCTCTTTGGCGACTAAACTTTTAGTCGCCAAAAACTTACTTTTAGCGACAAAAAAAAATTTAGTCGCCGTATATTGATTTTTGGCTACTAAAATATTCAGTCGTCGAATGAAAAATAAAAAAATTATTTTTTCAGCAACAAAAAAATAATTTAGTCGGTGAATATTATTTTTTGGTGACCAAAATATTTTCAGTCGCCAAAACTGCTACAATTGGCGACAAAAATTTTGTTTGGTCGGCATTGATAACAGATTTTTTTGGGAGAAAGTTTTTCAAATTTGGAGGCAATTCATTTTGACTTTTTCTTTCATACATATTTGTTTTTATCAATCCACCCAAACCAAACCCAGAAGACTCTTGACTCTTGCTCCTCTCAGAGGGACAACTCACCATCACTTTAGCCCCCATCGCTCACCGTTGATCTTCCACCATCGTTCATCGTCGATCTTCCACCGTCGCACACCGCCACCGCCGTTACTCGCCTCGCAGCTCCTCGCATTGCATTGCTTTGACATTGAGGTTTTTATCTTCCTCTCTTTATTTCTCTTACTCTCTCTATCTCTCTCCCTCTCGGTTCTGTTTTTCTGTCTCTCTTTCTCTATTTCCCCATTTCAGTCTACATCTTGGGTTTGTTTTTTTTATGGTGTAGGGTTTTGATTTATGTGAAATCAATGAACCAATGATTGAAGGAACATGTAATTTCTTAGGGTAATTGTTGTTTTGATTTATGTAATTTCTTAGTGTATGTATTTCTATTGTTTGGTCTATGCTTGTAATTGTTGTTGTTTTTCACCCTCTTGCACACCATGTACCTGAAAAAATGTTCAAACAAAATTCGTCCATGCTTGTATTTGTTGTTGTCTTCTGACCCTTTTGCTCACCATGTGTTTGACGAAATGTTCAAATGAAACTGGACAATGCTCACGTGTTTGATATGTGAAACAATCCAACATTGGAGGTTGAAGCTGAAGGAATTTTAATTAGGATGCTCTTCTTTCTCTCTTTAATCCATATTCCTAATACAAAGTTGATTCAAGTTGAAGTAAGTCTGGGAGGCATTAGATGGTAATGTGATGTTTTCCATTACATCTCTTGCCTATACTAATATCAGCTGATACATGCATGAAACAAAGCAATGCCTTCCATGGGAGCATTACTTGAAGATATGCTTGGGTAGTTATCCTTCATTCAATTGATGCATTTAAATGCAGTTTTCAAAATTAAAGAAGGGATAAGAATATGTAGCTTTGAATACCCAGCCTCTCATTCTATGCAATTAATTAGTTCATGATTGCCTTGCATGACTGAATGTTTATCATTATTTTTTTTCGTTCAAGTTATGAAACAAAGTTTTTTTTTTTTAATTCTAATGTAGTTAAAAAATAAAATATTTGTGAAGTAATCTAAAAAGAATTCAATAAATAAAATAAAAAATACGAAAATGTACTGAATTTTTGTATTTAGTAAATTTTTAAAAGAAATTTTAACATTTTTTTTTAAACTTTTAAAGTGCATCTAAATAAAAATTAAAAGAATTTGATTAAATTTTTTTTTAAAAAAATACTAAAATCCAAAAAAATAGGAGTTAAAAATTATTTTTGAAAACTCCAGGTATGTGTGCATGAGATAGTGGGTTGCTTTGCTTGTATCATATGAAAAGCTGCTCAGCTTGGAGATGGATCAACAATGGGAATGTCACATTATTAAAGGGTCCCAACAAAAAATAAATAAAAGATAAAAAAAAACAAAAACAAACCCTTCCCTATTGGTTGGCTTTGATGTTATGTGATATATGAATTGCTTTTGGCATTATGAACATTTCTTTTTGAACGTATAATATAGATATGCTTTCCCATTGGACCTATATATATATATTGTTCATTATTAGTCCTTCATTTAGTTATTGAATTTCTGTCATGATCTTCAATGGATTCTGATGCTACCAGTTTTATAAATACAATGAAGATCTTTGTTTCATAATCAATGATGATGAAATATTTATCTTACTAAATTTATATTTTAAATTAAAAAATGGGATAGGATAAGTTTTAATTATAGATTATTAATTTTGAATTGTGATGATGTTTTACAGCTGAAAAAAATTTCATTTCTACCATGGTATAATTTTCTCTATTTGAAGATGCTCTCAGTGTACAATTGGCTTAGCATGGCTCTTTCTGAGATGTTCTCACTATGTATCTTCTTATCTTCAAATTATTCAGTGGACCACGCAAATGAATGAGAGGACTCACATGCTACTACTACCCCTATGCCCCATGGTGATAAGGTTCTGCTATGTCATGATTTTTTTAATGTATTTCAGTAGGCTCTTATATAGGTTGAAAAAATTCAACAGGATTACAAGGTATAGTTCAAGGCCATTAGGCTTCATCTTGAATGCATTATGTATGTGTCTATGTGGGTTCTGATCCTCAAATGTGGTGTATGATAGAAAATTTGTATTTGTTGACCAAAACTGATGTCTTGTGATTCTAGCATGTCTTGTTGACGTGTCTTATTGTCCATAAGTAATGCTTAGTAAATCTCTCTTTCTGTCTCTTAACAGAAATAAAGGCATATCTCTCTATTGACAACTTTCTTTCTTTTCTTGTGTTTCATAGGATTGGGACAGTTATTAGAAGATGATGCAGAAATATATAGGTTCTGATGTCACATCAATGGTGACACTCCTAGTTATCATTTTTGAGCCAATGTCAACGCTTCAAAAAATGGTAAAGGTTTGTGTTTTTGTACCACACTAATGTCTTTGTTATATTTGATGATGCTTTTCCTTTGAATATCACCAATTGTGAAATGTTTGTAATAGTTGATGGAATACTTCTACCTTTTGGATTTAGCAGATGAATGTGAGGATCCCTACATGCGATTGGTTTATGCTTGTAAGTACCATTATGCTCTCTCTCTCTCTCTCTCTCTCTCTCTCTGCGCGAGTGTGAGTGTGCATTTTCTGTTGTGAAACTTATGGTTCTCCATTTCAGCATCCTTCTTTATAACAATCTATTATGCCTGCCGACGAACCTGGAAGCCATTTAATCCAATTCTTGGTGAAACTTATGAAATGGTCAATCATGGAGGTGTTAAATTCATTGCAGAACAGGTGAGCTTGACCACATTTTCCACTGGATACATTTTTCTTATTTTCTTTGTTTAAATGCTAGTTTTGGTCATGCTGATTTTGATTATAACTAGGAAGGAATTATTATTTTCTGCCTGACAGCTTGCTTGGGCTAGAAATTAAGCCAGCTGATGCCATGAGCAGGGCAAGTGGCTTGGATAACTATGGCATTGTTGGTCTTCAAAGACAAATAATGAAAGGCAAGTTGTTGTAACTTCTTTAGAATCATTTTTTTTTAAAATTTTATTTGGCTTCTATATCATGGATTCTTATGCCTTGAAAACAGAAAAAGATGAGGGCTTTGAGAAATTGGAGGAGACAGTGATAAGCACGAAACATATTGCTTTCTTTCTTTAATTCTTGAATCCTAACAAACAATACCAAAAAACACCTTTGAGTTGCAAATGTCATAAACTTAGTCAAAAAAAGGCGTTCAGGGGTGATGTTGAAAGGCAAGTTGTTGTAACTACTTAATGTCTATTTTATATATTTTGGTAGTACAACTGTGCAAATTTCTCTTAAACTAGCAACATGCATGTGCACCTATGTCCGTTTTTGATTATATTTCTAAGAAGATGTAGTGATGTTGAATGAACTTATGTAGGGGTTATTTCGAAGATGATTTTCCTATCCCTGGTTAACATTAAGAAAGAAAATTTTGTTTTCCCATTTAGTCTCCTTACACTGTTAAGAGCTGTCAGGAGTTTGGTGTCCCAGCTTATAGAACAGACGCTAGCATTTCCCCTCTCCATTATAAGCGCCACTATGATTTTCCTTATTTTTGTGCAGATAATTATACATCTTTTTGGTAATTTTTTGTTATTAATCATAGCCATGTAAGTATTAGGAGGTCGAGCATCCTTATGGTTTAGAGATGCGTTTTTGTTGTGGAATTGGAAATCAACATTACTGGCAGATGAACTTTCGGGAGAGAAAATTCAAAACAGCCCCCAAACCATTGTGTGGCTCTCACGGACAGCTTCCCTATGACAAATAGGAGTTGTGACAACTGATGGAATGTAATTCGGACCTATAGGTTGGGAGTTAAAGTTGAATAAGCCTTAAACTTAGTCGAAAAGGGATTTCCGGGGGTGAAAATTCAAAATAGCCCCCGAACTACTATGTGGCTCACAGGGATAGCTTCGCCATGACAAATAGGACTTGTGAGAACTGATGGAACGTAATTCGGATCCGTACGTTGGGAGTTAGAGTCGAATACGCCCTAAACTTAGTCGAAAAAGGGCGTTTCAGGGGCGAAAATTCAAAACAGTCCCCAAACAATTGTGTGGCTCACACGGACAGTTCCCCCATGACAAATAGGACTTGTGAGAACTGACGGAACGTAATCCGGACTCATAGGTTGGGAGTTAGAGCCGAATACGCCCTAAATTTAGTCAAAAAAGGACTTTTCGGGGGCAAAAATTCGTAACAGCCCCCGAACCACCATGTGGCTCACACTGACAGTTCCCCCCATGAAAAATAGGACTTGTGAGAACTGACGGAACGTAATTCGGACCCGTAGGTTGGGAGTTATAGCCGAATACGCCTTAAACTTAGTCGAAAAAGGGCGTTTCGGGAGTGAAAATTCAAAACAGCCCCCAAACCACCGTGTGGCTCACACAGACAGTTCCCCCATGAGAAATAAGACTTGTGAGAACTGACGGAACATAATTCGGACCCGTAGGTTGGGAGTTAGAGTCAAATACGCTCTAAACTTAGTTGAAAAAGGACTTTCTGCAGGCGAAAATTCAAAACAGCCCCCGAACGACCGTGTGGCTCACACGGATAGCTTCGCCATGACAAATAGGACTTGTGAGATCTGACGGAACGTAATTCGGACCCCTAGGTTGGGAGTTAGAGCCGAATACGCCCTAAACTTACTTGAAAAAGGGCTTTCCGGGGGCGAAAATTCATAACAGCCCCCTGAATACGCCTTACATTTAGTTGAAAAACTTGCAACACTTAGTTAAAAAAGCAACAACTTTATTAAAATAACATCTACATATTCTAATAATTGCCTTTATATATTTATAGGACGAAAAAATTACATATTACATTGTTTGTGCAGTTGGTTGGAATAAATATTGCATGATACATATATATACATATATACTTTCTTTTATTTCCAAGAAGACATTTGTCGATTGTTCTATCTTAAATGCATGTTAGAACATGTTCCATATGGTTGACTGAATTGATATTTTGTAACCAATTCTAATGTTTCGTTTTTTGTTTTTCTTTGTAGATGGCTTGGTTGCATGGACTTGTGGATAATGCATATTGGTGTATGGAGAAGAATTTTCACTTTTGTGTAGAACTAATATAATACTTTTGTCGTCCTCAGCTTTTGTGTAGTTCATTATTACTGATACAGAAAACTTTTGGCAATCAACAGATAATGACTGTCGTGGTACATAGATCACCTTCTGTCGTGGTACATATATACCATTTGTTGGCGTACATATGGGACGTTTTGTCATGGTTCATAGAAAACTTTTGTCGTGGTACATATATCACCTTTTGTTGTGGTATAGATTACGATGGTAATTTGTACCATGCCAAATGGTAATTTCGCTTGGACGTAAATGTATTTTTTTTGTATACGGAGGGTTTTGATTTTTGTATAATATATTTTGTATGGAATTATTATTTTAATTTGGATAATAATTGATTTGTATGGACTTTGATATTTAATGTCATTTATTTTTGGTATATGGATGCAGATTGTCGAATGATTGATAGTATGTATCATTTTGTTTTTATACGTATTACAGGTTGCATTGTATATAGACAGGCTGTAGAGAAATTATAATTTTGCAATAAAACATAATATCATGTTTTTGGCGACTAAGCAATTATTAGCTAAAAAGAAATTGGGAAAAGACATTTGGCGATTAAAAGTTTTGTAGCAAAAAAAAAAAAAAAAAAGACATTTGGCGACTAAAACTTTAGTAGCCAAAAGAAAATCAAACATTTGGCAACTAAAATATTTCATAGCTAAAAACAAGAAACTAAATTATAAACACACTTTTGCCGACTAAAATTTTAGTAGCAAAAAATGTAGAATTTTAAGCGACTAAATATTTAGTGGTCAAAAGAGGAACTCTTTGCCGACTAAACATTTAGTAGCCAAAGATGGGGACTTTCGGCGGCTAAATTTTTAGTAGGCAAAAAAGAACTCTTTGCCGACTAAAATTTTAGTAGCTAAAAAGGTGGGACTTTAGGTGACTAAAAGTTTAGTCGCCGAAAAGTGTTTAATTTAATGTAATGTGCAGCCTTTTGGCGGCTAAATATTTAGTCGGCAAATGAATACATTTGGTGAATAAAATAATTTTAGTCGCCAATTAGCTTTCCCGACTACTCTTCGGCTACTAATTTTGTGACCAAAAAATTTAGTCGCTAAAGCCCTTCGACGACTAAAATTGATTTTTGGCGACTAAAAATTTAGTCGCCAAAAGTGAAAATTCATGCATGCGTTTTTGTTAGTGATAATGTTTAAGGTAATGGCAACCCAACAACATAATTGGATAAAAATGGCGACCGATCAACCGATCAATTATTCTTCGAAACTTGGACTAAATTGATAGTAATGATTAGGCTTTTGACTACTACTAATTGATTGGGAACTATAAATAAGTTGGGAATTAATTGGTTTAGTGTGGCTTATGAAAACTAATATCCCTACAATCAATTGTACAATCAATTGTGATTTTTGAACCTCCCTTATATTCTAATAGATTGTACAATCGATTAAATAACAATAGCATAAACACATACCAATGATTATAATCCATTGTGATTGTTCAAAACCTTGGTTACTAATTGATTGTATAATCAATTGTGGTCTTTGAACCCAATCGTTTTTGCAATCAATTACGATTTTTCATTCACTCTTATATGCTATACCAATTGATTACACAACTAAATGTGTTTAAAATTTTAAAAGTGATGATGTTTTGTTAATGTTATGATTTTCGAAACAAAATTACAATCAACGTGCTATGTTATGATTCATTGGTAAAAGGTATGACATTTTGTTAATGTTGTTATGACTGTGAGAAAAAAAGTTACAATCAACATGTTATGGTTATGATTCATTAAAAAAAAGTTATGATTTGTATTACCAAAAGTTATGATTTGTTATGTGAATCATAATAAAAAAAGTTATGATTCAAATCTTACGATAATTTGTTGGAAATAACTACATTTGTTATGAGTTGTTGTTGTATTGTTATGATTGATAGTGTCTTTGTTATGACACCATAGTGTATATTCTGACATTGTTATGATTAATTGTACTAATTGATATGATATTTGAAAAAAGTTATGATTCTTTCATGTAACTTGTTAGATGACTGATTTAGCAGGTCACTTTTTATGACGTGGCATAATATAGACCATACAATAAGTGCACATTGTAGACTTTTTCATAATAATATTAACTGATCTTACCTAACATTTCTTGAAATTTATTTAAAATATGAAATTTGTAAAGAGAGTTCTTAGCATTTTTCAATAGGACAATTTTAAAAGAGAATTATAAATTTTAAATCACATATTAAGGTCTCGTTGTCAACTATATATTTTATTAGTCTAAAAATCAAAGAGTTATTATAAGTTATTAATCATATCACTTTTTTTATTTTTATTTTTTTTGTACGTTTTTTTAAAAAATCAAAAAATTATTAAAATAGCCTATTTCTAAACAAGGTCCAAATCAACTTGTATCACATATCAAATCAATTTATGATCAGCGGACAAATTAGTGCTAATTAGACGGTGATTTAGCTGAGTGGACGATTTGTTGCATAGTAGTCTTTATAACAACAAAAATGCTAGAGGCCCCAAAAATTTTACCAAAAGTTTTACCAAATGTCTCACATGGGTTTGGGACCCACATGGGTCCCACACCTATGTGAGACATTTGGTAAAACTTTTGGTAGAATATTTGGGGTCTCTAGCATTACTCTTATAACAATGAAGGGCAACTATTATGAGGTGAGAGCGAGCCCATGGTAGGAGATTAGAGCCCTTTCCTTGACTGTTAGATCGGAATACTAAAAGATTCATGAAATTCAACAGCTGATCAATCACTTACATATGGTGTAGATTTCGAAAATTAATTAATACAATCAACGACTATAAGGTTCGGATCACAGTAAGAACTTAGGCGTTGTTTGGTTTGTATTTTGAGAAATTATTTAAAAAATAATTTTGTAAAGAAAGTTTAAAAATTTATTTAGTTGTATATTTTGAAACTAGTTTTAAAATTTTGGATAATTTGATATTCTTTTATCGTTGAATAGATGGATTATAACGCTCCCAAAATAATACAATAAAGATAACTCATATGCGGAATAAATATGAGAAACAACATACTTTCATATATCAGAGTTCACTGTTTAACAACAAGTTAAATGCCATATAGGCTTACATCTTCTCAAGTCATTGTTTGGTTACACAAATTGAGTCTCGTTCATTATATCTTAAGCCTTTGGCTTTACAAATAACCAACTTACACACAACAAGACATAATTAAGAAGCTTTTGCTTCCCGAAAGTCCATCCACACTATTGCCTTGAAGGAAACATCTCACCTGCACCTGAAAATGGTATTCCCATATAGTGTGAGCCAACAACCCAATAGAAATAATTTAACACAATACATGAGGTTTAGCAAAGGTATAAATACCACGTGCATAAACAATACCGATACTAAGACATCCACAAGGCCTGCATATTCATATGCCACTAAGACCAAACCTCATTTCATTTTTTTTCCTTCAATTCATTTCCAGTTCATATATGCTACTCAATTCATGAGTTAAATTCGTTATCTTTCAACAACCAAAATGAGACTACAACTCAATGGTTTTCCAATTATGCAAAACACACATAAACGCTTCAAACTTTCCATTTTACGAATATTTCGTCCGAAGGAATTGGCACCCATTTATGTATAAATTTTCGGGTCTTTCACCCAAGACACTCCAGCCAACTTGCTTTAAATGGAGTCCATCCATTTTCTCCTCCCAAACAAATATACATATTTAATGTATTTATAAACATAATCACATATGGAGTACATCCCCTTTCTCCTCCCGATAAACATACATATGCAATGTATTTATAACATGGTCATATTCAATGACACCAACAATGGATTAACATTAAATCGCCTAATTCTCATGTAATTTCTACAACAATCATAGCTATCCTCCACTGATAGCCCAATGCAATTATTTCTAAAGAGATGTTCAATATCAGAATGAATAGTTTATTCAAAACTTCCATAGGTGAGATAATACATATCCAATATCACCATTTATAACCATAACCTTCAAATTTCACATTTTAAATGTTAATTCCAATTATTTATGCAAAATAATGATTTAATCAAATTAGGGAAAAAATCCCTTTCTTACCAAATATCAACCCAAACACCAAAAACAACTATTTTGGCACAACATGATCTTATATTCAAGCCTTATACTCATTTACCTCAGATTCATCAAAAACCTCTCTTTTCCATATAACACCAAAATCTTAGATTTGTTCAAATCACAACCAAATCTCATCATCTATACACAATAGCAAATAACTAAGCTAAAAACCATATTAGAGTGTATAAAATCCCTACCTTAAGTGCAGAAGACGGGCAAGCAAGATCGAAACTCCAAAGATGACGAAACTAACTCTTACTTGGATCAACACGAAGCTCTTGAAATCCTCTACCTTATTCTCAAAGACACTAGGGTCAAGAACACAACGGATCTAGATGAAATCTTAGAGAGAAGGTGTATTCTAGAGAAAGAGTATGAAAACCTGCATTTTTGGAGAGTTTTAGAGAGAGAGTGAGCTGCCAAAGTGTTCTGAAATATCTATTCATGATTTGATATAAACAAGCTCGCTCGAGCGAAGAAGTTGTCGCTCAAGCGACTAGACAGAACAAGTTGCCTCGCTCGAGCGCATGAAGCGTTGTTTGAGCGTAGAATGCAAAGCTTCAGGTTTGTCACCAACGCAGACGCACGCTCGAGCGCAAGAAGCCTCGCTTGAGCGAAGAAATAATTTCACAAGGCTCGCTTGAGTGCAAGAAGCCTTGCTCGAGCGAAGAGGCAAATTTCTGGACAACAAAGTTTTGGAAAAACAAGCAACCAACATGTTCCAAACACACTACTACAACTCGATAGCCAACATAAAGGGGATACAAGGGAAACAAGACATGAATAACCATTCAAAGTCATACCAACTTGAGTCCGGAACACTACAAATGACGGGTAGAAACCTAGGTCGCTATAACCTCCCCCTTAAAGAATTTCGTCCCCGAAATTACAAATCATGTTTTAGCCAATTTCCAAAATGATTACCAACAACATATACAATGCTTCCATGAGTGATACAACACCCACAATATTCCATATTCTCAAAACATATGCAATGTTTATATTGAATCCATGTTTTTTCCAAACAGTTATATCATATACAATGTTCTTACAAGTTCAAACATATACAATGCTTATACTTTTCATTAACACAATTAATTTCTCAATACATGCTCATGCATCAACAAACAAACCCGGATATTTCTCTCAGACTTCTAACTCAAGTTCCCAAGTTGTTTCCTCAACCCCGTGATGTTTCCACAATACTTTTACCAAGGGAATTGTCTTGTCTTGCAAGACTTGATCCCGTCTATCCAAGACTCTCATCAGTCT